TATCATTTCTTTGCCTTATTATGGAACAGGTCTGGAGATTTTCTTTAGAGCTGGAATGTGTTGTTTGTCTTTTAGTAGAAAAGTAATAACAACACTTAATGATTAGCACTAGACACCCGTTCAGGAACTGTTTAGATTTGTTCTTTAAGAAAATAAGAAAAGCCATACTTGGTCCATCGCTAGCCAGTAAAACACTCCTAAGACAGACAGTGATAACAGGACAAATCTAGAGTCGGCTGACTTGCAGTTTCCAGTTCCAATGCGATGGGAAATCCCATTGAACCAATCACATATAATAATTGCCGGTAGATATCTTCCAAGTTTGTCAAATCTGTATTTTGTAACCCATTTATACTGACAGGATTTGCCACAGCACACTGCAGTGAGTTCAACAGTGTAATTGTTCTGTGGGAGGTAAGTATTGCTCTTAGTGTTAAAATTAGTTTCTGATATGAACAGGGTATCTACTGGTTGTTGCTGCAAGAAACAAAATAGTTCCTTATTGACCTCATCTCTGATATTTTATTAAAATATTATATATTATTTCAGATCCTAACTAGCAACGTACTGTTGGCTGAATTTTCGATGTTTACTCATTGGAATATTTCGGCAATAAGATAAAGGGTGTGCTAAACCATGTAACACATACATACATGCCACCTACTAGCACTTAACATCATGTTAAAATTTAGTATCCTGGGAGAAAGCATTGCCTAAAACTGTCACACAAATACTTTGGGTTTAGTAGGCGTGAGCTGCTATGAAATTAATGTCTTCTCCGTGTTGCTTTAATACTGGAAGTTCATATTTACCACTTAAAACGTCCTTTGTTCTGGAGCTTTGTCTTTTTCCCTTCTTGAGTCGGATTTCAGGGAACTAGTTCCCCCTAGTTTTAGCTGTCCCATTGCAATATAAGCCATGTAGTGGTAGATGACAATGTGTTCTGAAATTGCTTGATGAAATATTCAGTGCTGGTTTAGACATTTATGCTAAAATTGTATGAGTTTAGTGTTTAGGAACGACAAGGTATGGTGTTTCAGTTTGACGCACATTACTTTTGTGTCAGCTTGTGGTACTAAATTTTCTCTTTCAATAAGAGTTTTTATATATATATATATGAATCTTAAAGTATGCCTCTAAGTATCAATGCTTGTTAATAATGAGTAGCCTTTGAGGTATTTGAAAATAGATTCTTGGAAAAATTTTTTTTTTTATTAAGGAGAAACACTTTTGATATGACCATTTGCAGTCATCTGAAATCTATAGGTGTGGAGCTTTTGTAGCAGCTCTGGTTGTCTGAGTCCGTTTTATTTAAACTTCTCAATGACAGCTATTAAAAGCACCTGCAAAAGATTAGCAACTGGCTTCAGTATCTTGCTTCCTTATTGAGACAAATAAAAACACTGGCATTCCTTTATTTTGTGGGTTTAAATTCTTTTCTTGTTCTATTTATGTTTACTTTAGATCATAACTGTTTGGAGCTGTATTCTGTATAACAGAAGGCCAGCGTGGAGTTGGGGCGATGGGGTTGGTTGGTTGGGGTTTTTTGTCACATCATATTTGGTTTATGTCATTTAGCGAAACCAAGTTAAATACGATGTTGCTGGTGATGCTTTTGTGTACTTTCTTGTTTACTGTGTTTGGAGCAACTTAATACTCTCACAAAAAGCTTTGAGGAGGGACACTTCTTGAATATTTTATATGCTTTCCAATACTTAACTGGCAAGAAAAGCTAGTTTTGTTTTAACTTCATTTTACTATGAGTTTCATTCCAGAAATAAATAGATTTTAAAAATAGGTCTGGGTTTTTACAAAGGGATTATATTTGTCTTATATAAAATTGCTGCAACTGTCTTTTCATTAATGTACTTGTATTACAGTATGAAATACTGTTCATTATGATGAAATTCAACAAATTATTAATGTTGGCAATACTTTTGTGTTCTTTACCTATTTAGTTCATGGTTTAAATGCTTGCATTTACAGTTAATTTAAAAATGTTTCCAGTATTTAGTCCTGAAGAAGCTTCTAAAACTTGGCACTCTTGCCAAAATGTTTCTCCGTCAGACTTCCTGCCTAGTAACTTTAGGACATTAGCAAAACCTCAGTGCCTTACAGTAAGCAAACTTTCTGAAACTGGAACCTCCCTGTCCTAATGCATCAACAGACAAATAGAATTCTAAACATTATTTTTCCCGAAACACACACTTTCGGATGCATATAGGCAGGAGGAAAACCTAAAAATCTTAATATTTTAAAACATGTCCTGAAATGTTTAATGGATAGTCATGTCAAACACTACATTGGAATCCGTAGATAAACTTACTCTTGTATTGAAGAAAATAGGCCGTCAAAAAATCTTTAACAGAAAGTTTTGGCCTCAATTTTTGGTTGTGATGACTAGAAAACACGTTTTTTTGAAAGGAAGACATGTCAGTCTTTTACACAGAAAAATAATGTCGTACTTATGAAACAGAAATTAAGAACAAGCGCATTAAAGCAGCATGGCGTTGTTGATAGCATCACAGAGTACATACTGAAAGTGGCTCATGAATAAGTTTCTTGCTTGTTACCAAGAAAATCCTACCAAGTCTTGGAGAAAAATACCTTCCTAGAAAGTAGGCTTATATTGTTTCTGGTGGAGGTAAAAAATTATTTGGGGAACACACAGGCCCTGGTGTACTACCCTTTCCATTTCGCGGCTCGTAGAGAATATACAGAATTAGCTTAATGTTTAGATTAAAATCAAGCTACTGTGTGTCAAACACCTGCTGCACTTCACCTGGTGAATGCTGACCAGGAATTAGACTAAAATTAGGTATGAGAAAATAATGTATTTTGCATTTTAACAAAAAAAAATCCTTTACATATATATAGTGAAGTGAACCGTACACGTGCATACGCACATGCAGAAATTCATAATTCAGTTATTTCATGTCAAGTAGCCCTCTCAGGACTGAGTTTTCTGTGTTTGTGTTTCTTCAAAGCTGAAAACAGCATAGTAAATTGTAATTGTTCATGTAATTATCCAGACATCTTTTCCTGTGATAGCTTAAATTAACCTGCTTTTATTGTTTATGCATTGTTGCATAAGATGTTGCATGTTTGTTGAACCATAGCAGTTCTTTCTAAAACTGAGCCCTTGAGTGAGGAGTAAATGTTTGCTTTGTTTTTTCAACGGTTTCATTATTGAATTAACTTCTGACAACATAGAACAGATTTGTGGTCTATATATTAGCATCTAATTAACTTGCTACTTGTGCACGCTTTGATACTGCCCATTCCATCATCTCAGAACAGGTCTAGGTCTTGTGGTAGCCTTTAAATCCTTTCCTGTCCTCCTCACTGCTCTAATTTGCATCTTCTAATTGGGCATCACCTCGTGTAGCTGGGCATGAGGAATGCATCATACAGTATGTCTAGTTCCAAAGTGTGCACAATAACTGATGCTGACATCATCCTTCATACTTTGACAGCTTTCCTTCAAAGAGGCTCTTATTTGGGCCTTTTCCCTAAAGACGTGATCTCTGAGGGTACTTGGGGAACTGGCGTTCTTAAAGCTTCTGGCATATGGCAAATTGGGTTGTAACTGGGCAATGAGGTCAAAATGAAACAGGGCTAAGTGGTAAACAGTTGGAGAAAAGACTACAATCATTTAAGCTTAGCTTTTTGTGAGAAATCAAACAGGGGGCGGAATAATGCAATACATGTTTTTAATCAATTTTCTTCCTCTTCAAAGAATTTTTATGGAACACCTAAAGTGCCGTAACAGTTAACACTAGAGTGAACTAAAGCATTCAGACTGAGGAGTTCAAACTAACGGTCTTATTCTGGGGCAAAAATAGAATGGAATTTTAGAAATAAATATTTATCAACACTGTTGTATGAATGCCATAGTTAATTCCTGAGTAACTTGCAGCAATTTAAAAAGCAGGAGCTCCTTTTACAGTTTAGTTGCTCATAGGAATGGAGTAGGCAATGCAGAAAGGGGAGGTATGATGCTGTGGCCACCAGCTGAAGTGAGGCCAATCCATAGGCATTTTAAGAATAGTATTCTTCATTGCTTAAATTTGCACAGAAAGTTAAATATAGACGCACTTGGGGTTTTGACAGCCCTCTCCTACTCTTGATTTAAAAAAAAATAAATAAAATTGGTTTTGTTATTAACTACTTAAGTCACCTCCAGCCTAGCCATTTTGTGTCTTAAAATAATTCTCCTTTACTGAAAACTTGAATAAAAGAAAGTCCTTTTTCTCTTATTTCGGAGATTGCCTTTATTACCACCTGCTTGAAAATAAAAATATTATGACACTTCAAGAAAAACAGTATAAATCAGGATGAATGGGAATGGCCAATTACTGCTGCATTGCTTGCTTTGTTATTTTTAGGGGTGGGGGTTTTAGTAAAGAGCTTCTTTGCAGAGTTCATATATTGAGATGACAGGTTCCAAGTGACTTCTTTCTTTCCCCTTTTCCAAAACACTGCTTGCTCATTTGCAATATGAAAGAATTTTATTTCTCTAAGTGTTTCTATGTCCTTCTTTTTACAACAGTTTCTCATTCTACTGCATGGTACTTGCTAGGGAAAAAATGGCCGCGATCAGGAGGCAGCTGTAGATTACTGTGATAGTACCATCTTAAATTAAATTTAGAGTTCTGTCATGATAATGCGATCATTTTCAATGCTCTTACTCTTCCATTCCCTGTTGTCATGTGTCATATCTTACTTGTGATTACTTGTAATATCTCTGGGATTAACTATATCAGCCTATGCATATTTATAATACTTTGAGTGCCATAGAACAAATGCTACCATCTGGACAATGCTGCAAGAGAAATAACTTGAGTTATATGATCAAATTAATATGTAAATGAAATAAATAATATTTGTAATAATTTCTGCTAATAAACATATTTCAGCAGGGAAGAGGAAGGGAAAAAGCAAGATGTAAGTAGTAAATATAGGTAAATGTGCTAATCATCATTTCCGGTGTTGCCCAGGTACAACTTTTGGTACACCGTCACAAGGAATGAATAACAATACACAACAAATAGTAGAATGTGCAGTACCACCACAGAAAAGAACTAGGCGGAAGCTAATGGACTCTCCAATCACAGCTCAAAGTCCTGTTGCATCCAAGCAATCCAGTCTCCATCTGGAGGATTCTCTTACCAAGGAGGTCCGCCCTATTGTGTATACGCCAGAATTGTGCAGAAAGCCAGCACAAAGCTGCTGTACACAAATTGTGGTAAAGAAACCTTTGCGCCTTGCAGGCCTTCAGGAAACCAGTATATGTAATATAGACATGCCAGTGAAAAAGGCGAGTATTATGGACTCTACATGTGACATAATCCCAGAGTGCGATGAAGATGACATGAACTCAACAGTAATTCTCTATGAAGAGACTGGTGAAACAAGCGAAACATCTACGGACTTATCCATGAAGGAGTCACAGCCACGGGGCGCTAGCATTCTGCAAAGGTATTTTCCATTTATACAGGAAGGACTATTACCCAAACAACTTAATCTTGGTTTTCTTCATAACTGGTTTTTGCCATTGATGTAAGTTTTTATTTGTAAACCCAACGTTTTGAAAATCAAACCCTCAACTTTAATCAGCATCAGATTCAATTCTGCCATTGTTTGAAATCAATTGTATGTTAGTGACAACTGATGCAGTTGAAAGCTTGTCCTGTTTTACAAGGTAAGTACCGAAAAGAAAATACAGGACTTCTGAAATTGTGATGCCTTAGGCTAGTTACTTTCTGTAAGCCTTACTTTTCCTCTCTGTAAAATGGATACCTTAACCTCTTTGACATTGAGAGATGCCATTGTTAAAGCTGCCCTGTATGTGTGGAGTCCTGGGAAGCTACCTCAAGTATTACTATTGAAACAAGTTTCCAGTCTTGTTTTTCAACTTAACATATTATTTACAGTTAAGAACACTTTCACCTGACCCTTACCCAGAAAAGATTTTACAAAAATGTAATTCTTTGGTTTCAGACTTGGTCTCTCTTCCTTAAAAACCAAAAATCCTACTTCAGTACTTGAAAAGCCCTCATATATGGCAATGACTTCTGCTGCTGCGAGAAAAAGAAAGGTGTTAAGGTAAGGTTAAACTAACTCTTCTATACCAATGAGTTTGTGTTTGTTTCTTAAGTTCTCACTTCAGTTTCGGTATTGTATTTCAAATCTGAAAACAGCTTATCAAGTCATCTGGACCTACATATGACATGTTCTGACTCAAATATGTTTGACAATTCTACTCAACTTGCCAGGAAAAAAAATAATTGAATCTTCTTTACTTTTTGTTTAGGAACTTCTGTTGTTTTAGCAAGTACAAACTAATATCATGTCTTCCGTATCTGTTGTCTACTTAAAATAGAACAATGACGCATAATTCTGAAAAGAGAAATTCCATTGTCAATTAAAAATCTAATTTGTTTGAAAATGTTATGCCTTTGCTGAAACACATTAGAAACTAACAAAATAGAAAGTGGAGAAAATGCTTAACAATAGTTATGTGGCCAGTGCCTTGGTTTTTCTGATAATTCATTTCCAGTCTCAGTTATTATGACTTCATTCTTGTGGGAATAAAGGGGAAGAACTCCCATTTGGTCACTTCTGAAAAAGGCTTGTTGGTAGGAGCAGCAGAAAAGCTGAAACTGAACAGACACTAAGTGCAAATGTACTTTTTAGTTTGTTAATATATTTAAGGACTAGCTGTCAGGTCAGTGCTGATGAAACACTGCTTTTCTCCTTTTTTTCTTTTTCTTTTTTTCTTTTTCCAAAAGCAAAAATTGGTACAACCATTCGTAAATCATATTTAAATCACCTGTTGCTTGACAGGTGACAGTGGAGCTGCTGCCTCCATAGGTCTTCTAAAGAATGTTTCAAAACTGTTGGGACAAGTTCTGTAGAAACATCACGGGGCATGGGACAAACTTAAGTACTTTTTTGTTTATTAGCGTCTTTCAGATAGAAAATCTGCCTAGAAGATCACAGATTTACCTGACCCAATTTCATGTTCCTGTTCTAATTGTTATTAATTATCGTTCTAAACTGTTTTGCTAGGATTGCTCTAGGATGAGGAATAAACTGTATTGTTCTGGGCTGAGAGAAGAGGCACATCTCATGTTTTCAGTTTTTCAAATAGTTGATTACGAATTTAGCAAAATAAATCACCTGCTTTCTGAATCTGAGCTAGTTTTCTAGATTCCCTTTAAGGAGAGGTACAGGAACTTCAGAGCCTGATTTATCTTAAGGTAAACATTCTAAGACAGACTTTGAGTACTTTTTTTCTAATAACTGTGTAATGATTTTCCAACTTATACATGCTCTTCCCAAAAAGACTAGCTCGTTCTACTCTTTTATCTCGTTCTTTCTGTGTCTCAAGCATGTATTTCCCAGTTTCCAAATTAGAATAACACTACAGAAAAATTCCACAACTCTTATTCCTTTTTTAGGGATTATTTCTTCCACCTCAGGCTGTAAACCAAAATTCTTTGTGGCTTTGTTTGGCAGTTGGTGATGAAGAGAAGGAATGAAATCTTCATATGCTCTTACTTTTCAGATAGCACCTCCTTTCCTTTCTCTTCTTTACTTCTCTCCCATGGTTTCCCTGTTTGAAGTAGATCAGTCATTCATCTCCTACTAAATTAGAATCAAAATATAAATTTCAGACATACACTGTACATTAGAAATATAATTTGAAACGGTCATACTGCTTAGGACAAGGGATAAGAGATGAGTCAGTCATAACAGAAACTGCTTTTACTAAATAGCATTGCATTCTAACTGGCATAAGTTCGCTTCCAAGAAGCATGTATGAATAGATCTTAGCACTGGCACAAGGCAGGTCTTAGTCTTTACTGCTTGCTATATATTTTCATTTAGGCAGAAAATTATTATGAAGAAACTAGTGTAAGTTAGGGAACTATAAAGTGGGAATAATACAATATCATTAGAGGAATGGGAAAAGCATAGAAACTGGGGACATAAATAGAATTAGCTTCTTTATGAGGCTGTCTTACAGAGTGGAACTGGGGAAGTTAGCGAGGCAAGTGTAAAAGGGTGAGATCAGATAGGTTCATAATTTTCACTGTAGATCTTAAGTCCATGACATAAAAGGCTTTAAAATATAGAGGGTTTGTCTTAATGAATTTGAAGCTATAACAGCTTTCTTGCAGCTTAGCTAAAAAGTCTGCTATGAAGCCACCCCCTCCAACTGTGTTAGAGGCTGTAGAAAAAATTATTGTAGCAATAAAAAATGTGATTTGTTCAATAAACACAGCTTGGTCATTTCACGGATTTTGTACATTTGTTAAGATTATTTCTTTGTGTAATTTGTGTGCGATGACCATCAAACTAGCTTCTGTTGTTCCCAAAAAAAAACTGGTCTGCGTTTTAACATAAGTGGCAGCATTAGTTCTTATTTGCACAGTTGAAACATTCTTGTAAAGTTTTAAAAAGGAAAAAGGGAAATAATAGCCATATATATACGTGATAAATAAATTAGTTTATTCTTTGGATTCTGTTATGAACTACCAGTACTGGATAATATAACTTAATATATTTCTCCATTGCAAGGTCCAAACTACTGCAATGTACCTTAATCGCTTTACTAGAACCAAACTCTTTTCTGGCTATTTTTCCAGTTCTACATCAAACACTGGGTTAGGCAGCCTGCAAGACCCTGTTTCTGCAAAACGCATTCGACAAGAGAGCCATAGAGCTTTGCGAGTACCCAAAATAGCAGGTAAGTGTCAAAACCCGAATGTATGACGCTGCATTGGTAACTGTGTTTGTACAGGAGGTCCAAATTAAGGTTATATTCAAGGTTTTGTCAATTTAACAGTACGGGTTGCTGTGACCAGTACACTAAGCCATCATTTTGAGTTTCTATCCAGTTATCTAGATGGTATCTAATCAAAACACAGTATTACAACAATCTGGTTAGGAAGCCTGTAGAAACCTTGTCCCAAGAGTTAAGGTCTTCCACCAAAAATTGTTTGTGTGCTTACTGAGAAACTTGGGGAACTTTATTACCAATTTTATTTTTGCCAAGTGTGGTTAATCAAGAAATATAATCTCTAACCATTTCCATACCTGATTTTAGCTGCTTGCTTTGTTTTGTAACACCACACGAATTTATTTTTACAGATTTATTACTTTTTTCAAAAATTTCTTTTTTTTCAAAGATTTATTACTTAAATGTTGGGGCTATTTTGGGCCAACACAATAGGTGAGGAAAAAATTATTTTAAGGCAATATTTAGAAATTATTTTTCTTCTAACAGATTGCTGATAATAATACTATCAGGTGATATTCCATGGAAGTCTGCTACAATTACATGGCTTCTCTCTGAGTTCTATAAATCTTCACTGTAACAATCTGTTACAAATAATTTCTCAGTAAATGTGCACAAAGGTCTTTTGTTTACAACTTTAAAAAAAAACTCTGCCTTTCCTAGCACATGGCACTAAGTTGGTTGCCACCTGCAGTAGATTTTAATGCACTAAATTCTTACAGTTTTCCTTTTATCTCTCTCTACTGGTCTCCTTTTCCTCTCTATCTTCAGAAATACACGTAATGATGTTTCTTAGTGCAACTTCTTGGGCAGTTTAGAGGAGATCAAAAACTGTTTAAAGTTCTAGTCTGCTGTCCTTATGAAATAGTCCGATCTTGTAGCTTTTCCCAGTGGCATAGGCAATATGCCAGTTTTACAGCACATACGTGTTTTTATGTAAGAACTCGTGTGAGGGAGCAAGTACATACGAATATGTATTATTTTCCATTCATGAGAAATGTTGAGGTTCTATTACAATAAAATTTTTGAAAAGTGTAAATCTGAGGCTAAATATTGTCTAACCAATAGTCACTTATTTGGCAAAGTGCATACACAGTTATATCATTGTCAATTTCTACTACTAGAGACTGGGTTATGAAATTGCCAAAATCAATCGCTACTCCAGTATTATTAAGAAGCTATGTAATGAGGCACCACATTCTGAAATAAAGAATAGATTTTTGATTCTTAAAAGTTTAACTGAATGTAAAATACGTTTTATTTTCAAAAGCATGCATTACAGGAGAGGAATGAAATATCACCAAATACCTAAGAGGAAGAGCTGCTTTTGGATTAAATAGACAAAGCTTTCTTTAATGACATAGTCTTCATTTTTAAATACTGTTCTATAATAATAAGGATTAATAAAATTTTCACATATTTTTACATTTTTATGTAGACCCCTGTACCTTTTTAATAGCATCTCGTGTCAGTTGAGGGTCTAACTGTTGGACTTTCTAGGCAATTAGCACACTGGATTACTGACCTGAGAGTGATTACATTTTTGCATAGCAAAACTAGGCTTTCAATAAGGACAAGAAATATGTGTAAAAATTCTTAGACATGCTCTGAAAAGAAGATCCAGGTAGGCCAAATTCTCCTTATGTTTATTGAATGAGTGTCTCCTATTTGTAATAACATCTTTTCTTTTCTTTTTTTTTTTTTTTTTTTGCCAGGAATTAAAACGAGGAGCTGGAAGCAAGAACAGGATGTGCCAAGAAACCTAGTTAGAAGCCTTTCTGAAGGAAATGTAGCATTGGGTGTTAAATCAAGGACATCAAAAAATCTTTTACTTCATGTTTGCAAGAAAAAAAGTAGGATTTAATTCTGAGTTCATCCATATTTCAAGAAGGATTGATGGATAGCAAATGAGAATAGGATGACTTTCGTTTCCCTCTTGTGAATTGTGTTGCGTTGAAGTCGTCGTGTCTATCAGTAATGCACTATTTCAGAAAGAACCACTTTTTGGAAACTCAATGATTAAGTTCTTTTTTTGTTTCCTGTTAAAGCTTACAAACATCTTTTGTATTTTAACTAATGAATAAGAAACTTCTTTTAGGCTTGGGAATGGAGAAGTGCACAGTAAACTTTTTGCCATAATCTTTGTGAGCATTTCCCTGTGTTTACAACTAACAGATTAATACTTCAGACAATGCAAGTCTTTAAGGGGAGCAGTGGTGCTGTAATTTTTAGATGCTAGTTTAAATTGCTTACCTACAGTCAGTCTTAATTTTCTAATGACAATTTTATGATACAAAAGTTAGAGTAATTGTTTTGACCAGCTAAATTATTTTCACTGAAACTTCCTAATGTTAAAATTGTTTTTCTTTTGGAAGCGACACAGATGTTAATATTAAAATGTGTTTGTGCTTAGCATTAGGATGCCACTTTATTCTTAGGTATGTTATCATGGGCAGATACTAGCAATGTAGTACCAGGAGACAAAAATATTTACGAAAAGCATTTGTAACGAAGTATTATATCTAAATTTTTTAGCCTTTCTGTTTTTAGTCTGTGACTTGGTTGTAAATGTTTTTATTTTTCATTTTAATTCAGTTGTAAATAGGATAATTATGTTAATTACATTGAATAAATTTTTAGTTTTAATAAGAGCAATATAATGTGAATAGAACTAGAAAAAATGTACCTTTTTGCCTCTTTTCTTCTATTTTGAAAAATGTCTGATATAAGTACACATAGTTCATATTGTATCTTCTGGTAAATGATTAATATTCAGAGGCAAAGTGGTTATATACAGTTGTATTTTAGCATTGACGTCCCGCCCACTCTTAGGAACATCATTCTAGTGAGTTTGGTCTGTACAAATGTAAGTGTATACATTAATTTCCCCAAACTAAGGAGAACTAGAGGAAGAAATCCAGTAACTAGTTCCAGTGGTGTCAAACAACTGTCTAAAACAAGGAGCTTGCAACCCAGTCAGTTACCCAACATGAAGAGTGCTGCAGAATGATGTCCTGCCTCTCAGCAATAGTAATGGGCTCAAAAGAGCTTCACAGGTTACTGCTGCTATTATTCTATCACAAGCTTTCCTGTGATGGAGAACTGGATTCCATGATCTCATAGATTTTATCAAATTTGTTCCTAAAATTGTTTGTGTTCCAAAAGTTGATAGTTTTATACATTTATTTTTGTTCTCTATAGTCTTTGATATTTAGACAAACAGTTATATCTCTCCCTAGCTATCGAATATCGGCACGTTCATTCTTAACACACTGGAGGGGCGTTTCTCAAAAGGAGTCTGAAGAAGGGAATGGTAGCTGCCTGTATAAGCTTTCAGGACCACTTGTGGGAGGAGCAAATAACATTGCAGAGGCTGACTTCATCAGAGAAGTTCAAAGAGGAAGGAATGATTCCTTGAGAAATAGGCATTGCTAGTTAAAAATAATGAGATGAGAAAAATTGAATCTTCCTATTTGCATTCTAAAGGAAGTATAGGCGATACAGTTGTAGTGAGCATGGGGTCATGCTGATAGCATAATAAGGACTTGAAAATATTGGCTGTGGAAAAGGCTTTTATGAACACAGTTCTAAACATCTGACAACCCTAAAAACTAGAATTTGGGACTTAACAACATCTCAGCAAGGTGATATAAGTAATTTCAGTAGAATGAAGGGGGGTGGAAATCATTTTAATATTTCTCTATCATGATGAACAACAAGATTTTGGAATTAATTTTAACTTATGATTTTCGCACCTCGTGCAGCTAAAACTGTAGAAACCACACACTTTAGATTTATGGGATGTCTTTCAAATTCTCAGTGTTTAATATAAAATGTGCACATGTATCTTTTCATACTGCTTCACATCTGCAAGAGGCATGTTGGGCTTTGCTTATAAATATAGTTGTAACGTGCATTGCTCTTGAGGCACGTAAGACTTAAACATAAATGTTCCTAGCAATTTTAAAAAGTTTTTAGATGAGCTTGTGCATGCAACATTTTGATACTCAGTCAAAGCCGAGAACTGATGAGATCTCGTCTTTTCTTAATGTGTTTTGCATACCCCTGAGCGGAATTGATTTGATTGACTTGCAACACTTCCAGGGACTAAAAAAAAAAAGTATGTTGAGAAAATTAGCACACTGAGATGAGAAGTGACTCCCGTTCCTATCTGCTAACCAGATGTTGATTACAAGTTTGTTAGCTAGGTATGTATTTACCATTTATAACTAGCATAAATGAAATGTTTCCAGAAATTATAACAGATTGAAATAGGATTTTTGTATTTCAGATTGCTGTTGATTAAAATACTGCTTATTAATTGTACATTTATTTTGTTACATACTATGAACACATAAACTTCATAAGCAGAAGGAGCTTCAGAGCACGTTTCACACACAGTACTGGTACAGAACTTTTCAGTGCCTAGTAAGTTTTTTGTCAGATTGCCAGTTTCTTCTTAGGTAGAAAGCGAAGAGGATTTGGGAAGCAGAGGAGGTATGATATAACTAGTTTCATTTTCTTGCCAATCTACATTGCCTGTTACCTGTTGGCCTGCCTTTACAAACTAATTTAAGTAATAGCATTTATCTGAAGTATACATTTAATTGATTTCACTCTGTACCATGCAGTGTTAAGTCTTGCCAGATGGGATGCAACAGAATATTGCACAACATAACATGACTCAGGCTGAATCAAGAATTCAAATGATTTGGGTCAATTTAATCTTGTTTAGAGGGAAGGAAAAAAAAAGGCAACAGTTTTAAAATAAATTCACTTGAAGAAAATGTTGTGCTCCTTAACTATTCTAGAGTCTGTCGTCTTGGGTACCTAAAACTTCATAGGTGCTGAGTGAGTTATGCTTCCTATGTGAGACGCATGACAACTTTTGTATGTTTGGGCATATACGTGGCAGTAAGAGTACTGATCTTGGCTCATCTTGCTTTCCGCTTTAATACAGATGACTAGTTTGTTTAAAACAAATATTAGCCTGAGTCAAAAATTTTCGTTTAATATTCATGGCTCTGTCTTAATGAATAGAACATTCATGAGTTCAGTGCTGCGTATTAGCATTGTGGAAAGCAGTCCCTCATATACAAATGTCTTATTTTAGTGTTTCGAAAAGTTCATATGCTAAATTATTACAGTATAAAACTCTCAGAAAATCTGTAGATAGAGAAATTGCAATGATGTGGTATTTAGTATATTTTGGAGAAGGGTGAGAAGAAACATATATTGTAACATTAATTCTTTGTAAAAGTTTTTCTCTTTAGACTACTTCTGAGTATATGTTGTAACACAAATCTCAAGCCTCTTTTTAAAATAAGAGGAGGTACATATGTTGTTGCCATAATACCCTGTGTGTGTGTAATTGGATATGAATAGTATTGACTTTAATAGGATAGTCTTCACGTTGGTGTTACAAATGCCCTTGCATATCTCAAAGGGGAATATTGGAACATTCTGCCTGTAAAATATGCAGTACTGAAATTATCATTGCTCTTTCCATCAAACCAAAGCAGTCAGGAAACCCTCAAAACCTAAAAATATCGGTGTACAAGCAGAGGTATGTTGTCCAGGCTCTCTTTAGCCAAATAAAGTTTCCTTTTCCTATGGTCTACATTAGGAATATGTCATACTCCAGTATGTCTTATTTTTTCTTCTGAAAGGGATTTCAATCGACAGGGACCCCGATGTTTTAGTCTAGCTGCTGTGTTTATTTGGTTGAACCCCTGTTAGTACAAGCTGGGAGCCCTGATAACCTCTTTCTGGTCCCTGGCCGAGCTTTCAGGACAGCTTGCTATTATCAGCTTTTCAAAAGAGCTCATTGTAGAGTGTTTTACCAAGAGGTCGACATTTCCCATGACCAAATGGGCAGAGATTTTTCTGAAAAGCAATTTGTTGCAAGTGTGAAAGGGATGTTAAAGATCTTGTCCCACCGGGTAATTCTTAGGAAAACATACAAAGGCTGTAGGGTATAGTTTGTACTGTGACTCATTTACTTGCTTATTGTCATTGCAGGAAAGAGAATTTATAGAAGCTATCTGAAGCATAGGCTTGGGAGCCTGTGAATATTTGTTACTGGGGATGGAGTTGGATACAGAAGAAAGACAGAAAAATGAGAACAATATTGTTGTCAGTGGGGCAATAGAGACTGAGCCATTTATAATGGACTCATTACATCTTCGTACCCGTTTTGCAAAACACAGTTTTCATGACTAATTCCACGCAAGTAACAACTATTTCAGTCATTCCTTTTGAGTAACTACCTTTAATCATGGGTATGGGCCCACACCGCTATGCTTCAGCATATTTGTGCCAAATGCATGTTGAAAGCCAACCATATCGGTTGATTTTTATAAAATTGTACCAACCTTTGTTACATGATAGTAAACAAAGACTTATGCAAACTTAGATCCAGAAGCACCTGTGGATTTCTGCAGGTTATCCGGAATGTTAAAATTACACACCAAGAAAAGAAAAAACATATCTGCTGTCTTGTCAAACTGGCAAAGCACAAGAGCTTGATGGGGTTATTAGGAAAAGTCATTTGTGGTGGTGGGAGAAGTTCCCATAGCAGCCTGAAGATGATGAGGCATCTGCTTATTGGGACAAATATTTTGGGATATCCTCTGCTGAGGAAGCCGAGTCTCTTGCACCTGCAAGTTTCGGTACTCAAGCTGCAGAAGATAGCAGGTACTATTTGGAAACCTGACAACATAATGCAAAAATAAAGATTTAAGTCAGCAAAGTGGTCCACCCTGAAAATCATTTGGATTCCTAAGTAGTTGTATTTCACTTTGATCGGCTTTCCAAAAGTGTGTCTGTAAATAGGCATGAGGAAATCGGTTTTAGCAACCAGAG